TGGGGGGGTGGATCAAGAGAAGATAACCGAGCAGGGCTGACAAAAGCAGAGGGATATGTAGCTGCTTCTACACAACCATTTACGTGTTGTGCTCTCATTCTGTGGTCTGTAATAACTGCAATAACCACAATCGGCCTGCAGCGAGGATGACGCCAGATCTAATTGTCGTGTCATGTTCCCAGTCCTGAACTGCAACGCACACAAAAACCGCAGCGACGTTCCGAAGAAGCACTTCACATTCAGGAGCGGAACACATTCTGGGGTGCGTGCGTGCGTGCGCCTCCAGATGAGCGAGGAATGCGTAGATATCAACAGAAGCTCTGTTTTGTTAGCTGGAGCGAGGTGGGGCCCAACACCTAAGCGCTTGTTTAGTGACCTTGCTCGTCCCTAAACCAAAAGGTTCTAAAGTAAACGTGAGGCGAAGAGAGTGATATGAAGAGTTCTGATGCGTAGCTACGCCATTAAGGTCTGTGCAGTTTTCCACCTTACAGACACACAATTACAAAGTAGGAAAAAAAAGCCAAAGTAGTCCCTTTTTTTTTTTTTTAAATAGATCCGTGACTCTGAAAGAGATGGCACTACAAGTCTAGCATTGACTGCATAGTCTGAGAGTCGTCCCCTGGCAGAAGTGTGTCACTTCCACCTGTTTTGATGGAATAGTATATTGGGCAGAGGATGGGAATGGGGAAGGATACATTTACACACACATGCCAGGAACACAACACTCTGCCTAGCAACATAGTGCCAGCGCAGATCCTGAAATCCGAGTCCTGTCGGGCGCTTCATATTTTTAATGGTCCTCCTTAAAAGAAAAAGGAAAAAAAAACAAAAAACACGCTAACTTAATTTGAGGAACATCTTACCAGTGTGAGTCCTGAGGTGGGCTTTCAGATGGGACGACTTGGTGTAGACCTTCTTGCAGCCTGACGACAGACACGGAGATAAACACAAACAGACGGCTTAGGCCAAATAATATGCATGTGTCAGATATGTATTTACCCAATAAACTGAGCTGTGGTATGCAAGAAATTTGAACTAACGAAGAGCAGAAGTCGTTTGGAATGAAATATGGTGCATATTTGGTAGAAACTCGAAAACAGGAGTTTTCCATATCTGGTTGCTCAAAATGAGCAAGACAGTTCAGTCCAGAAGCCAAACAGAGCGCTGCACATAGGTGTTTGTAGATTACAAATTAGAGCGAGTAAACTGTGTCTTAAAGAATCTTTTAAAAGGGATTTTACAGGCTGCCACAGTTAAACAGAACAGCTGCAGCTGCCTGACTGCTTGTAACTTGTGTGAAACGGGGATCTGTGGAAATGATTGATTTGCTTCATCTGACTTTTAAAGAAGTTTGATGTGCACTAACATGCTCAGGAGAGCTCTGCTTAAGCCCATTTTACATGCCGCCACAGGCTAGTTAACAATACATGTCCTACAAGTAGCTGCACATCGTGCCGCTTCGGTTTGTGTGTTTATGTAAATATATAATCCAGTTTTAAAAAAAAGAGAAAAAAAACATTGAACCTGCGTGCGCAATTTCAAGTATGCATACGAATGTGTGTGTGGGAAAAAAGATCAAATGACTAAAGGACAGCGTCTCTGTAATTAACACACCCACACGCACACACAATGATTCCGCAATCATTCCAGCGATGACTTAGAGTCGGGCAACAGTGAGTGGGAGCTCCTGACTCAGACTGACACAATTGTTTAAGCTGCAACAGTAAATGAAAGGTAATTCTCACACCTTGTACTTAAGAGAGAGCCAGCGGCCGACAGTCTCCACCGTCATGATACTATTTTAGCAGAGTGTGTAGTAGTAGGCACGGCGACCCGGAGGTCTGGGAAAGTCTTTCGAATCGTAACATGTAATTTGAAAAAAATGCATGGGAGACTTCAAATGAATCTGGTTGCCATAATGCCGACTTTCCTGAGTGACCTGACATTCACCTGACCACAGTGCGCTGAGAAAACAACGCACGCATTTTAAACACAGACAAAAAGGCAGCTGGCACACACACACACACATACACACACACACACACACAGGGTGGTGGGCAGGCGTTGCTCCTCTGACCTGGGTAGTCACAGTGGTGGATCCGTCTTTTCTCCAAGTCTGGATTGTTCCTCCGGTTGTAGCGGACCGGCAGGGGGATCTGGGCCGGGTTGGGGGCCGCCGCTGCTACTGCGGCGGGGGGGGGGACTTGGGGAATGACGGCGACTGGGCCCTGGACCTGCGCGGGACCCCCGGAGAGGGGCAGCGGCAGGCCGCCGGGCCCCGGGCCGGGCCCCAGCCCCGGGGTGCTGCCCGCCAGCTTGGAGGCGATGGTGGCGGCGTAGGAGGGCGGGGGGGACATGGTGTGGAGCAGCTCCTTCTGCCGGTCGGGGCTCCCCGGCTCCGAGCTGGGCGGGGAGGGCGGCAGGTAGGGCGCCTGCTGCTGAAGGAAACTGGGGTGGGCCTGAGCGGGGGGGCGGGAGTACACGCCGCCGCCGCCGCCCAGGCCGCGGTAGGCCGGCTTGGCGGCCTGCTCCTGCCGGGGGGCGGGGGGGGCGGCAGGCAGGTCGTGGAAAGGCCCGTGGATCCCGGAGCTGTGCTGCATCTGCTGCTGCTGCTGCTGCTGCTGATGATGATGATGGTGATGATGGTGATGATGATGAGGATCCAGACTGGAGTTGAGGAGCTGGAAGAGCGAGCCGCTGGCGTCGTGGCCCAGGTCGTGCTGCTGGAACTGCGAGCCCATTTCCTGTTTGACGAACACCTCCGACAGCGCGTCCCCGCCGCGGCCGCCGCCCGGCTGGCTGAAGACGCTGCTGAAGTCCGGCAGACCGGTCAGCGTCATGCTCACGGCCGAGGCCTCCATGGCGACGGCGGCGGCGGGGTCGGCGGCGTTGGGGCAGTGGGGCTGCAGCTCGGGGGAGAAGCAGGACGAGGCGGCCTCAGTCTTGACCTGCGCCAGGCCCGGGTGGCTCTGGTGCTGGGGGGGCCGCACCTGCTGACTCAGCCCCATCCTCAGGTAGGCCATGTCCGGGAGGTAAACGTTCATGTTGAGCGTGTAGGGAGCGCCGGCGTGATCGTCGCCGAAGAACAGATCCACCGCCGACGCGCCCTCCCTGAGGGGCTTCTGCTGGCTGTCCGCCGGAGGCGGGAAGGGGGGAGGCTGGGGGGAGAGATACCTGTCCATCTCACACTTCGCCTAGAAGCAAAAGAGGCAAACACGCGTGAGTATAAGGGCACCGTTCGGAGAAACACAAATCAACTCATTTAACCTCAGATCTTTTTTTTTTTCCCGCTCGAGGTTTCGGGAGTCACTATTTTGAGAAGACAAAAGGTTGATGCAACAGTCACCGCCGAAACATTTATCAAGTAGTCATCAATAGGTGGCTGCCACATTCCCCCTGGGCCTGCAAAGGCTGAACTCAGAAACCTTCCTTTAGTTCAGCCCTCAACAGGCCGGGGGCACGGACCTTTAACGCCATCAGCGGGGAAACCCAACACATGTGCCCTAGCAGTCGGAATAAAGAGCGAGGCCTGCGAAAAATCAAACTGCCACTTTGGCTGATCAGTCCGGAGTGTGGCCTGCATGGTGGTGGTATCCCCCCGTGTGTGTGTAACCGCTATAAAAGTTGGATGAGCCCTGCAGCAGAGGATGAAACAGCAACATGAAAGGGAATGGGGAAACACCCATGCCTGCCCGTCCGCTGTTGCTGCAGCAGCGGTAGTCTGGGGATGGGCAGCTATTTGAGGCTCCTGATCCCACCAGCTGTTCTGCGGGCTTCTCTCTACCCCCCCCCCCCCCCCCCCCACACACACACACACCTCTGACTGGGGACAGAGTTGCGGGGACATTTCTGTCCGAAGCTGGAGCCAGTTGTCGTCGGGGTTGGTATGACTGGGACGGGGTGGTAGGATGGGATGGGGGGGGTGGGGGGGGATCAACAACTGGTGGCCAACTGACTGGCTGGCTGGCACAGTAAAAAAAAAAAAACACGCAGCGAATGCGTGTGCGGGGCGCAGCGGCTCTGTCACGCGTCCAGCTGCTGGCAGCCCGCGCGCCCATTCCCCCGAAAATAGCGCAAAAAAAAACAAACCAAAAAAAAACAACAAAGTGACGATCAACTCAACATCACGCAAGAGAGGGGCCCAAATTCAATCCGGAGGCCATCGGATAAAAAAAAAACAACCTGGGATCAACCGCCGATCTGCCACGCCCATTCAAAGGAACACACACACACACACACAAACATACACACACAACATGTGAAGCGGGCTTGGTTTCTCGCCGGTTTTACCTGCGTGAAGTCATTCTGTCCGGCTTTGTCCGGTTCGCTGAGCTTGCAGTCCAGGGCGAACAGCGCCGACTCGTCCAGGCAGAATCCTGCGGCGGGCAGGCTCGCCTTCTGCGGCGGGTAGAAGGGATCCTCCTGCACGCCACCGCCGCCGCTCATCGCGAGTGTCGCGGCCATGGAGCTCCGACCCGGCAGCAGCAGCAGCAGCGAAGCCGATCGCTGGTTCCGTCGCCCAGAGAGGAGGAGGAAGCGGAGGAAGAGGAGGAAGAGGAGGAGGAGGAGGAGGATGCCCGGGACGGACTCAGCGAGGAGCGGAGAGGACGAGGCGTAGCGCGCGCGGTGGAGCGATCAACAACGTGTGCCTGTCGGCAACATCTCCGTCCACTTGTTCCATCCCTCCCCGTCCCGCGGACGCTTTTGCTCTCTCTCGCTGCAGGGCGGAGCGGCCCGATGTAAATACGGAGCGGGCGCCGCCCACCGAGCTCCCCCCGAAAAAAAAAAAAAAAAAAAAAAAAAAAAAAAAAAAGCGCTTTGATCGCTCGTTCAGCGGCGGCCACCGCCCTGCGCTCCATCCGGACGCACGGCCGGACAGAAGCCGGCGAGGGGGGCCGCAACTCCGGCCACGGTTGTCATCCGGTCCCCCCCCCCCCTCTCCCCTCCTTTGGCCGTTTTCATGCAGGAGGATTCAAACATTATCAGATAAAGCCGGCCCGAGACACAGTGAATTGGATTTCTCGGAAGTAAAACAAGAGTAAATCGACTAGAATAAAACAAGAACATCTCGTATTAATAAAATGATGGTTGTTTACTAGTTGGACATAGTGTTCGATATGTATCAACAATATACTTCATATAAGCAACAAAGGCTGCTTCATATTACCGTTTATAATTCTATAGATATTGGAGAAAATTCTCACAACAAAGAAAAAAAAAACTGGCATTGTAAACGCCTTTTTCCCTGAATTATGGCTCTGACTTTACCACCCATCAACAATGCATTAATAAACTTGAATACACAGTTTAGACTCTTCTATTTTTTTTTACTTCCATTAGTTTGCCTGTGTCTATTTCCGCTGGTTTGTAAAGAAAAGTGTTTCTTCCAGAAACAAATCGGCTTATTTACCAAAATGGTGGTTTCCAATTAACATATGTGAGAGTCAGGTGGACAAGTCCCCCCTGAACTATGATCTGTATTATGCAGACCTGGCAAACCAAGTCCATATTTACATGTAGTAAAAAATCAATTAAAAAACAAGGGGGAAAAAGTATTTTAATGGAAATTACCATCTGTTTTGACAGCACCAAAAAAAAAAGTGCGGATGTATTTTGTGAGCTTATGTACAAAATGCATTAGAATAGAAAAAAGGGACAACTCAGCTTCACAGCAGCCATGTGGCTGAGTTTAATATGACACCAATAAGAACATGGTCTGAAATGATAAAGGTATGCTTACTATGTCTATATTTAAAGCCAAAGGAGCTTTGGCTCATACAAATCAAAGGCTAAGGTTCCTGCAGTGCTGTTTGTCTGTAGCAACCAGTAAGTGGAGGCCAGGAAAAGTTGAGGAAATAATGATAGACAGACCTAATAAAACAGACCACTGCCAAGAAAAAGGAATTTTGGGCAGTCAGTCAACAAGGAATGTGTACCTTTTGGAGGGTAATCCCTCTGATTTTAGACTATCGTGAGGGGAATTTATCTTCTGAATTATGTCCAAGCAAAGAAAAGAAAAGAAAACACTGAGACGGATGCAGCTGCTTGTGTTTCTGTATTTGAAAGGTTGTTGAGACCCGGAAGGGACAGGTGGAAATTACAAGTTTTTAAAACAACAGCTTTTATATAAAGAAAATAAATACATAAAAAAATATTTCAAGTCCTGTGAGAACGAGTAGCCGCACAAATGTTCATTTAAGTTTCTGTTTCTGCTTTTGGTACCAACCAGGAACGCCTTTATTGGTCTGCAAATAAAAGAGAAGAGACGTGTGAGAGGTTTTCTGGATTCTGAACGTTCCCACACCTTTTCAGAAGTTCTCCTGAGTCAACAGTGTGCCCTGCTGCATAGCTTTGCTCTGACGAAAAGCCCAAATGAAACCGAACAACAAAAAAAAGCGATTAATAATTTCTCTCCGATCGCCAGCATTCCCTTTGTCTGAACTTCTGTCCCGGCAGGTTAAGGCGGTGTGACTCATCGAAAGGGTGTTGCCAGGTGAGACACTCACAAACACAGTGGGTTTGGGTTTGGTTGGCGACTCCTCTTCTGTGGTCCCGCTGAGGCGTTTGGAGTGCGGTTTTCCGGGAGCCGGGGCCCTGGTGCCGGCTCGATGGATTTCTGACAGGTTCAGAGTGTCGCCCTGTCTGGACCTCATGCTGAGCAGGACCTGCTTCATCATGGCCAACTCCTGGAGAATCAGGGATTTCAGAGCGGGCGTTAAAACGCTCCTGTTATGGATGCGTATAGTAAATGCATTTGCACTCTTATCGTATTTGGTAGTTGGACGGGCTCAAAGGTCTGCAGGGGTGGCGGCAGCAGCAGCAGCATTGAGGGGAGGACTCTCGGCCATTTCACGGTTCTATTTATCACCTCTGAGGACATGAGCCCCGGCATGTCGCACGCACGCACGCACGGGCACACATGCATACACGCAAACACAGACTCAATCCAGTGGCATCCCAAACAGCCAGGCTGAGGAACAGCTGTCTATGACAGTGCACATGCTTAAAACAGCAAACGGCTGGCCGGGGGGACACATTTTATGAATCGCATTGCATTTTTAAGTCTGTACACTTCAAATTGAAGGGTGTAATGCTCTAAGATGCGCAAATCAGCTCCTTATATTGAACCACAATTTTTTTAGAAGACTTGACGAGATGGGCTTGACATTAACATCACATTTTAAAGTCAAATTGCGGGTTTCATAGAGTGAAGAATCCACTGGGAACTGTATCGACACTGTAAACGCAGCTGCGGCGTAACAGGTGGATTTGGGGCGTTTACCACCCACACTAGAGGTTACAATTTACACAGAGGATTTGTCTGGAACGGCTCTTTTTTTCTCAGATTTAATACACAATAGTCAACTTAAGTAAACCCAAGCATACAGTGTGCACTTAACAACTGCATAACATCTGTGGACTCAATGTTAAATAGGCCAATAAATCATCCGTCGGTGAGCTATGCCACTGCCTACAGAATGACCGCGTCACACAAAGAGCCCGCATCATAATCGGAATACGCACCTCTCTGTGGTTGAGGAGTCGCTCCAGGTCAGCCGCCATGTCGTTTTTCACCTGTTGCAGAGCGCTGCGCTCTTTCCTCAGGGAGCTGGGTTCAACGACACAACCGGCAGCCATCTTAAGAAAACACATTAATACCACCCCCACTCCCGTTTTTTTATTTAGGGCGACTCAAGGTGCTCAGTAGTTATGAATGATTCTTTAAGAATGCTGCAACCATGTGGCAGATGCATACTCTTAATTATGATCTGATTAATTCTGTTTGAGGGTGGAGTCGGGTCTGAGCTAAAAATAACAAAATAAAATCAAATAAATAAAAGCCTAAAGTCTGGATAACATTATTTTTTTCTCACATTACTGAAAAGAAGAGGAAAACAAGCCCACACACAACTAACAATGAGTCTTAACGGGCAGGTGTTTGGGTTTCCTAGCTTAGACATGAATCTGTAATTCAGACACATAAATCATGGATTTCTAAGATTTACAACCTCCCTGCTCAAAGGTTATATCCCTTTAGGTGTAAAACATACAGGCAGGAACCAGTAATAAGGCGCTTTCAAACAGATCATTTCGAATCGATCTTAAAATAACAGCGTCGGCACAGTTTCACTGAGAAATCTGGGAAAAAAGAAGATCCAGACTTCTTGTAAAAAGAGGCTTCGGTTGATGGAGGGAGTCTCCTGTGAGCGGTGTCTCCAGAATGAAAAGCTCTGCACAGCCATAGGGAAACTCCAGAGGGAAGCTCGATGGCATTTAAAAAAAGGATTTTTCTTCCCTCTTCTGATCGCCCCAAGGTGAGCGCTCTGGTAGAGAGCAGCAAGAAAAAACCTGCCGTCTGTCAGCCTGCATATTTGTTAAGCTAAAATACAGAGGGTGACAACGGGGATTTAGGTCAGCGCCAGGTAGCTGCATATGGACTGATGGGAAATAGATCCTGGGCGAAGAGCAACTCGTGCACACAGCTGCTAAAACAGCGAATAAGAGAGGGGGGCGGAAGATGAGAAGGGAATTTAAGAATGGCATGGAGGTACGGCAAAGGAACAGCAGCATGTAAAGAAAAAGAAAAGTACGGCCGTCCACACACCTGACGTCGCCCTCCAGAGAGGAGAGTCGCTCCTTCAGCCCGCTGATCTGTGCGTCCCGTTGTTTGACCGTCTCGATCAGGTAGCTGTACGGCTGCTGGGCCTGCTGCAACAGCCGGTTAGCTGCCGAGAGCTGGGGAGCAAAAGGCATCCGCTCAGAACAGAAGAAAGTGCGGCCCCTTCCCATTCTGTGCTTTTCCAGGAGAGATTATAAAATGAAAGTCACCGATTCCAACCTGGATCTTAACAGGTGACCAATGTCACATGGTGTATGAAAGCATTGGTTTTTAAATCAAATTTAAAAAACTAATGAACTCAATATTTCTCATTTAGCTTGTTGAACCTCGTTTAGAAGCAAGAGCTTGGAGTAATCATTATCTGTATTATCTGCTTGGATTATCTGTCTCACAGGGTGTTGAGGAGGAATCTTGGCCTACTTTTCTTTATGATGTGGCTTCGGTTCATTGAGGTTTGGGGGGATTAGTTTTTTCAGTCGACTTTTACTGGGCCATTATGGTCAAAGACTCTCCTTTGCTCTCATTTGTCCAAGGGACATTGTCCCTGAAGTCTTGGGGTTTGTTTAAGATACAACGATGCATACCAGGTAAAAAAAAAAAAGGATTTTCCCTGACAGCTAACCCCAACAAATCCATAATTGTTTAGTTTTTTCCCCCTTAACTTTTGGATTTAACATGTGCAATTCAAAAGCTGAGAAAACAGATCTTACATTTTTGTTTTAATCTGATTTCTCTGCTGCTGGAAAAGTCGCAGGCACACATTTATCCCCATATGTACAGAACTATAGCCAAGTGTGTGTGTATATACACACATCTACGCACACACACTTCCAGTAATAAAGTTGGTCATCCTTTTACAAACATTTTGAATGAGTGGATGCATTTTTTTTGTCTCAATGTGCAAAACATTGACAATAAGACACTGACTGCATATAGACAAATTATTTTTCTACATAGAAGTGAAATGGACTAAACTCATGACCTTCATTTGCAGCAGCTGATGTTGGCAGTTAAGCAATGCCTAAACTCTTTTATATGTGGTTACACCTGTATTTTTCAAAAAGTATCTGCATATTATCCTTTCTTAACAACCACAGTTTGGGAATACTTGTCTCTGGTGGCATCAGATGCCCTCAAACTTTATTATAGCACTTTTAGTCGGATGCGTTATCATTTTTCATACTCAAAATCAGTTAAACAACAGATAAAGTTGGGACGTTACACATTAAACTGCTTTTACAGCCAGTTAGTAGTGAGCAGGACAGGTAGGGTGGTGACAATGGTGAGTAAGTCTGGGCAATTGTCTAGGTGGTTAACACCCTGGCTCTTTCTAGTTAAAAGGAAGTATAATTTTTCACACTCCTGTGTCATGGTTAATGAATCATGAACCATTCTAGACAAGTGCCAGTCAATCACAGCTGACAGTTGAAAGGCCACTTTATTTGTCCTCAAATCTGCCCACCCACTCTACTCCGGCTTGGGAAAGCCTCTCCTCCCTCATTGAGATTATAATGGGCGCTGAAGAAAAGATAAGGCTGCCAGATCATTTCGGTGTTTTCAGAAAAACCCGTGCACGAGCTGCGGACACGTGACTTCCCAAACAAAACAAACACATCCAAAGGTCTCATTGTTGCGCACACATGCACACAGTGCTCAAAAGACAACAAAAGCTCTGCGATTGGTATTAGGAGTCGTTCAGAGAAAGAGGTGGTTGTCACGGTTTTTTGCCTCTAATGTCGGCTGAGTCAACACTGTGACAGGTTGCCAGACTAGCTTCTTGCTTCAACATTTAAAGTCTGAGGTGTCCACCGCCTGCGGCTCAACAACCTGCCATTTTTCTGGCTTGTCTTTTTTTAAACAGACTGAGATTTGCCAGGGGCCGCTGTAAGGAAAAAAAACAGGCTGGGGTAACTCTCTTGAGTCCTGAGATAAGTAGTGGTCTCCAGTCCAAAGTAAAAGTGTTGTACATGACAGGATTCCTCAGAGTGGCAGGCATGGTTTTTATCCACATGCTGAGTTTAGAAAAGACAATACAGACAAACAAACAACAACAAAAAAGTCATTATAGCCCTTGGGGGCATTTTCCTCTAAGAAACTTGAGGGAATGGCCACTGAACTGCTTCTACTTGGAATCTCCTCTGGTGTGATCGTGGTTCTCTACAAATACAGCATCTGTTGCAGTTTCAGTTACTTACTGAGATTCTTGAAGTAATTAATTACCACTGCAACAAGTAAAAAAAAACCCAGAAAACTCCTTCTTTTAGTTTTACAATTATGGCTTAATGTCACTGGTGCTGAAGTCTGTCAAACTAATTTGTAGATCTCTGTGATGATGGGAGGCGGTGAATAATGGGGAATAGAGTTGAGAGGCACCAAGCTTCCTTCTGTGATGAAGACTCGATGGGGGTTTTGATAAATCACTGTGACTGACTGACACCGTGGGGCCAGATTCTGAGTTGCTGCGGGAGACTTGGGGCCGCGTTGGGGAAACAAATGCGTGTACGAGTCGGGACTTGCTGTGCAATTATGAGAATTAACATTAAATTGAACAGTAGCCCATTACTGATGGTCCCCGGGCAAACAGGCACATGCGTGTTGTGTGTGCGTATGTGTGTGCGTGTGTGTGCACACCTCCTCGGATATCTGTCCTGTCTGTGACTGCTGTGTCTCCAGCTCTCTCCTCAGTGATGTGTTCTGCCTCTCCAGCTGCAGCACCCTGCGGGCCAGGTGCACACTGCACAAACCAACACAATTCTAGAGTTGGGATCGATGGAGGATTTTGAAAGTATACATTTTTAATAAAACGAGATGCTCACAAAGGGCCGAAACACCCAAAAATGCCATTTTAGAAGGTCTTTTTGTGGACATGAAGGAACCCCCCCCCCCCCCCCCACCCCCCATCATCTTCTCCATTTGGGTGCATCTCTCACAGGGTCTGAAAGCACTCTACCTCTGCTTCAGTCTTCGTCTGGCCGTTGTGGGAACGTTGGCTCCGTAGCCGTATGAGAACAGCACTCTCTCTGCCTCTTCCTCATTCTCAACTGGCGTTAAAACAAAAACACAAGCGGTGCATAAATATCCCTGGGACTACTGTGACAAAAGTGTGATGATTTATCTCCTTGTGTTCTGTCAGTCAAGCAGGTGCCGCGGACCTGTTGGGAGAGCACGGCAGTACAGTGCTGTTATTTTTCTGAAATCTTCGTCCAATAAGATGGCCTCCGCCCATTTTACCACAAACGCTTTCAGATTAACGGCTTATGTGATTCTGATCTTTGTCAATGAGAACTTTTTTTTTAGTGCGTGTGTGTGTACCCTGACTTCACAGTCATGTGTACAATGTACTGGCTGGAACAGAGCTATGGAATGGCCTTACTTTCGGCAGCCTGCATGGTGACCTGGTCCAACTCTCGCTCCAGCTTTTCATACGTCTCCAGTCGAGATGCCTGCTCTGCATTCTGAGCCTGCAGCTCAGCCAGACGCTTCTCGGATGACGTCTGTAGCCTGTAAAACTCCTGAGTGAGGAGCTGAGGTGCGGGCACAGAGGAGGGAATATGACAGATTTTTCGGTCCATTAAGTTACAGATCGATTTACAAATCAGGGTTACATATTGAATCATTGTTTATTCCAGTATTTCAGTTGTAGTACATTTTTATGTTAAAGGTATAAAGGGAGGCTCAGAAAGATAAAAAGCAAATAACTCCATAAAACGAGACCTAAACAATTTATTTGTTAATTTGTTACTTTCACATTGGAATTGAAGAGTTAAATATACCAAACATTTATTGTCATTGAAAATGATCAACAGAAAAACATAATATGATCATTCTTGGGAGTACCTCCAGTTTTTTCTGCTGTTTCTCGCATTCCACCTGACACTGGGCCAGGGCCTTAGCCGTCTCTTCCTTCAGCATCTGAGCGCGCTCGGCTTCAAAGGAGTGCAGCTTGGCTTGGTTGGAAAGTTCTGCTACCCGGCTGTCGGTGCCCAGCTGGAGCTGACGATATCTGGAGGATGAGAGGACGGACAAGCAGAGACCGTCACACAGCGCCACCACCTCACCGTGAACCGGTGGATTTAAAAAGCAGAGGTTATGTGGCTGTAGATTCTAGACACAACTGCCAGAAAGCAGAGCAGTGTGCCAAACTCTGCTACAGGTACCTGTCCATTTCATTCATTTTCAGATATTTTTGTTACCGGGTTGTTTGCAAAGACGATCATTTGGATTCTGGAGAGCAACTGGGTATTTCATGTAGCTTGTGCAACAAGCAGTTTACACACTCAAACTTTAAATTGGTGTCAGTTTGGATAATATTACAAAACACCAACAAGCAGCAAAGCCAAGTCTTAAAGTGATTTCATCATTTCTCAAAGTGCTTGCAGCAGTCTCATTTGAACCAACGATTGCAGTTGGCACAGAAAGAAACGTACTCCTACACGACCATTTAAGAATTAAAAAAAAAGAAGGACACGGGATGTACTCCTCTCCTCCTGTTTAACTGCGCACTTTAAAGACACCTGACTTAAAAATAAATAAATACAATTTCTGTGTTTTCTCTGTTAAAAAAAAATATATTTTTTTTTAAATCAGTGGAATTGTTTTGTTTTCCCCCCCCCTAGAACTGTTAAATAATGAACAGTTGATTTCCTGAAAATGAAATATTATTGTAAACAGAACAAGAAATGAATAACCTGCCTTGCCCCGAAAAGCAAAGGCTGTGATTTTCAAACTCGCCGCACCTCCTCGGGCAGCGTTCAAGCATGCTCACACAAGTTCCATCAAGCCGCGGTGGTTGGCTGGATAATATTAATAACTCTCGATTACAGCTGACCTGATAAGATTTCATCATCCATAGTGCGCAGGCCTGAGCTCTGCACTCACAGTGACAGACGTGTACACATGGTGGACATTTTATGCCTTCTTTCATAAGTGGCAGCTGCCATCCACAAGCAACCAAGCAACACCTTCCTTAAAAAAAAAAAAAGAAAAGAAAAAAATCCTGCAAACTTTTACACAGGAGGGTGGTTTACCGTATTCTTTCTATCCCTTCAAAATTCTGTCAGGCTGCGGCGCAAACCGGGCTTAACTCTTTGCTTTGTTTTGGAAAAAAAATCATGTTAAATGGTCGGTCAGCCGGCGTTCTGAACCAGAGATGCATCTATCATCTGACGCCAATTCAAGCTTCTCCCCCTCATTCTTTACCCCAAAAATAGGGGCAAGCGTGGGGTTAGGGGTGAAGGGCTCCAGGCTAGCATCTGTCATTGCTGGCTTGGGATGCAACGCAGAGCAGGAATGCGATCGCAGCAGAGAGAGTGCAAGAGAGAGAGAGTGGAGTGTGTGTATGTGTGTGTGTGGGAGTGTGTTTGCAGAGACCAACCAACAGCTGGTGGTCTGGCTTTAGAGAAATGACAGGTATGTAGTAGTAACTCAGGATGGGGACACCACCACTACTGCTGCTGCTGTGTTTCTGTTCAACACGCGATAAAATCTGAAGAAACAACAGAATGTAAAAGGGCCATAAAGTTGAAAGATCTTTTTTTCCCCCTCCATAACTCAGTTCTATATACCTTCGAAACATCTGTTTGACACTAATATTACACAAAAACAGGAAGCTGGCAGATACATCTGCATCAGTAATAAATTAGATGACGGTAAAGTCTCTGTGTGAAGGAGGGATTCACAAAATCTGCTGTAGTGTTACAAAAAAGTCTGAAACTAACACCATGACCCAGAGGCATCTTTTGAGGCTGGAGTGACGCTGGCATTCCTGCCTAAAGGTAGTGACGTCAATTACTATGAGCAACTTTGGAGATAAACAACGAAGAAACAGTAACTTCAAATAGCTATAAACAAAAACACACAAAAAAGGGTTCCAATCGAACATGGAATATGAAACTCAAAGCAGGTCTAAATGACAGTAAAACCATTAGGCATCCTGCGAGTGGCTTGGCTTTAATCACCCCCGAAGGTTTTCCACGTCTGAGAAGTGCAAAGTGTGTGTCATCTTTCTGAAGACATGGTAAGCCCCAGCTTTCAAAGTGACACACATCAGCAGACTCACACTTCAGTGTCAGAGCAGGAACAAACGCGTAGCCCCCAGGTACACCCGGTGTAGTCCCAGCTCAGTGAGGGCTGGAGCCATAAAGGCACACACACTTATTTGACTGAAGAATAAGTTAGAAATGAAGCGGTTAACTGGGAATGGTGCCTTTGTTGCCCTCGAGGAAAGCGTCTTGGCTTTCCATCAGGAGGTGTGATACGTTAATGCACATTTTAGTCTCTAAGCCTCTCTCAACATAAACGGGATCTGCTTGGTTTTTGGACAGTTTTCCCTCGAAACAGAGTATTTCTACATTTGTGATATTGCTGAAATGACTCATTTTGAACATAAAAAAAGATTTCAGTCACACCCCTTTCTTGGCGGAGGCTTTTCGAGGGCTGTTTGAAGCATAATAAAAAGCATAATAAAAAACAAGTTCTTCTGGTTTACACAGCAAATCAACTCTTTTCCAGGAAGACTGGTTCCAGACCGGCACCAACAGTTCCAGCTAACAACTGCTAGCGTCAAACCAACAAAAGCAATAATGTCCCTCTGAAAGGGACATTAAATCAAAAGCTCAAAATTGATGACACCAGTTGGAAATTAGTCTTTTCAATGCTCTTTTGGAGTTAATATGGTGGACTTCACAGAGGAATGTCATAATAATATAATTGTGAATGTTTTAGATTATTATTATTTTATAGTATCCCCCCGACCCAAAAAAAAAAACTGCATTAAAAAAAACATCTGATATTGCTGACTGAAGGGGATGAACCAACCAGCCTAAATGATTAATGCCACACTTCTGATTAAAGTAGTGACTCACTGCTCCAGCAGCTGGTCATATCTGGACTGGGTGTCCCTCTCACCAGCCACCGCTCTGTCTTTCTCCAACATCGCATCATCTCTGGCCTCACGCAAGTTTCTGGCAAAGACACAGAAAAACATTGACTCAAAGAATGAGGGAAGCATGTTGTCGGCGATACATCAGCAGCCGCTTCACCGAAATTAAAGTCAAGCAGGAAAAAATTCAAGTCCATAATCATGCTGTCTGTGGTTTGAATGGCATTACGTAGAGATAAAAGGTCAGTACCTGTTCTCTCTTTCATACATCTCTCTTGAAGTTCTCTGCAGGTTATCTATCTCTAGACTGGTTTTCAGCCTAATGTTCTCCAACTCTTCTCTCAACTTGTTTTCATACTCTGACTTATAGTGGTCTCTGTTAGGGAAAAAGATAAATAAACGTGTAAAATAGTGGACAAATCGTTTTTTAAAAAGGGATGGGATCATATGGCAGGAGTTTGTACAAGTTGGTGATTATTGTGGAAGAGTAGAACCTGACCTGGATGTTACATATTTTTCATAGGCATCCTCTCTGGCTCTTTTAGTGTCTTCTAATTGTACCTAAACAACAAAACACAAAAAGTGGGATGAGGTGACTTCCTGGTGCCGTTGGATGTGGCCTCCTTCCTTGTTGGCAGCGTGTGTGTGAACCTGCAGCCTCTCGAGACGGTCTTCTCCATGTGCACAGCGCACACTCAGCTCCATGTTCTGCCGGTGCAGGTACTCCTTGTCCTTCTGCAGGAGGGTGACGGACTGCTGCAATGTTGCCACCTGCAGGGCGGAGAGAACACCGCCGGCCCAGGAAGTGTTTAGGGGCACTGCGGAGACCAAACTCAGTGCGTGTGTGGGTACGAGTGATGCACCTCGTTGCTGAGTGTGTCCCTCTCTCTGGTCAGGGCAGCGTGACCCAAGTCCACCGTCTCAAATCTCCTCTTTAACTCTTTCAGCTCTGCTTCAAAGGCGTCCCGATCACTAGAAACCGAACAAGAAAAAAGAAAAGTCGCCTCAACTTGCTCTTTACACACGAAGCATTTAAAAATGGGAGGCATTTTAAGAGGGTGCGTTTTTTCTTCTGTTTGATTACTTTATTTCCACCTTCATATGAGCACCACAGGTCAGGTTTAGAGGGATCAACTTCACTTTATTCCACGCACACACTCACCGTTTGATATTTGGATAGTTGTCTCGGCGATAATCTCCCTCCTGGATCTGCTGTTTGGTGTCAGCCAGCTCTAAGGTCAGTCTCTGGCTCCTGAGCTCCAGCTCGCTACGTAATTGCCGCTCCTCCTCGTAGCTCTGTGGGTCCCACATGCGTTAGTTAGCACAAATACCGTAGAAGTTGCCAAACGAGCATCCTGATATATTCACTCAGTGCTGTTTATTGGACATCGCAGTCCATGCTGTTTCAAAAATCATCTAAAGATCCCAAAATGGTCCCAAGTGTTGCCATTTTCCCACATCCTGGTTGACTAGCAACAAAGGCCAGAAGCTCTGTGTCATCAGACAATAGAACTCCACTAAGCAGCATTGAAACTGTAATTTGGATGCTATGAGAACTTCAGTTGAAGAGTTATTATACATTTGTATCCATATTTATGATTTGCTTAAAGTAATGAAACCTTGAAAATAAGTCCACTCTTTGGATTCAATAACCTTGCAAAGTTTAAAGCGTCATCTTTGTGTTATTTAGATAAACCTCACACGCTCTTAAAGCAATCTTACCGACAGGCTTGACATGTTTGTTTTTTTTCTACACTTTGCAGGGTTTCATGTGAAAGTTTAAAACAATCGTTGTGAGTTGAGATGCTATAAACTATTATTTCATGAAACGAAAAGAATGATGACCTGTACCTCCATTAAAGACTTCATCTTGGTCCTGTATAAGTCCAGCTCTTCGGTCCAGTGGCCTTTCTGCACATTTAGCTGAGTCAGCTGTTCCCTCAGGGGATTCATAGCTTCATAGAAACGCACCTAGAAATCAAAGAGCCGAGAAAGAGCTCAGTGTTCCTCTAACATGTGCATATCTGGTCTTTCCGGTGGTCCAGCATCATCATGTCCAGCAGACATACTTACAGCTACGTACTCCTGTATGGAGATTTTATCATCTGGGAGGCTGCGGAGCTCCAGGTATCGGTCCTGGGAGATGTCCAGATCCCTCAGAGACCTCCGCAGCTCGCCGGCCTTCTCGCAGAGCTGCCGGTTGGTCTCCTCCAGCTGCTGCTGCCTGAGCAGGATGGCCTCCATCTCCTGCTTCCGCAGAGCCTGCTGCTTCCTAAAGGCAACAGTCTTCGTCAGCACAGTTCACACCAGCGCCTTCGCTGAGCATCAATTTGAAAAGCAGCCTAATAGACGGAACATTTCAGGTTCTGCTCCGAGGATTTGTTGCAGAAGACTGTGGGATCCACAAATTTTCGTTTTTTGTGCATCCGTTACAAAGCCAGTTGCTTTGTAACGGATAATTTGTGCCTTATTTCAAACGTGTTCCACGTGGACGCATTTAATTGCACAAACCTTTGTTCTTCCTGGGCAAGTTTCAGCTGGCTGTCCAGTCTGAGGGCCAACACTTGCTTCTGATGAAGGCAGTCGTTCAGCCTCTCCTCCAGTTCCTCAGTCTGAGCCGTGAACATCACACAGAAACAGTTTGAGTTTAAAGTCAGCCCACCCACCTGCCCCCTGTGCAGCACCTGGCCACGTTCTGTACCTTTGACAAGTTGTCTGCCTTCATGTTGTCTATGATGAGGCTCTTTTGGGAAAGCTCGATTCTCAGCAGCTGGACCGTGTGCAGCAGCTCCTTCCGCTCGATGAGCTGGCGGGTCACCTTCTGGGAGCCGTCCCTCTGTTCGTCGGAGGAGGACACGTCGTCGGTGGTCGGTACCGTTGTCTCCAAGCTGAAATCCTCGGACTCCAAGTCCAAGGAGCTGGAGACATTTGCTGTTGTCGTCGGCCTCAACTGCTGCTTCTTCGGAGGCATTTTTTTAAAGCGGTTTTGGTCAAGACTTGTTCTCCTTTTATTTTCCTTTCAACGAGGACAGCTGGTGCTCCGTATCTGCCGTTTGAGAGATTTGAAATGCAACGAGCAATTAGTTCTTAGACATCGCGATAAGTAACACTTAAACGTTAGTTTAGGGAAAGAGCCATAAGCTTACCGAACATCACCCAAGCAAGACAGTTACAAACTGCCGGTCTACGAACGTAAAACCCAGGTATTTGTGAAATAAATCGTGACGCACAACACTAGAGCCAGGATGCCGGAGGTAACAGGGACGAGGTGAACTGTTTTTACTTTCAAGGGTCCCGCTCCGTGCCAATTGCTAACCGCCAAAGCTTCGATGTCAAATGTTGCGTTGGTTACAGCACCCAGGTGGCAGAAAGCAGGCAGTGCATTCACCGAGTTTGTAATTTACGTTGAGTTGCCTTACACCATCTTGCATTACCACGCCCCAACACTAGAGACGCTATATAATTAAATAGTCCACCAGTCACTTCCTGTTCTCTCTTCCTTGGCTTTGTTTTCATCGAGTAATTAGTTGGACAACAAAAGTTAACCAGAAATTCGGATATCATTTTACCCTAAGCCATGCAAATTGCGTTGTTTTGTTAAAAAATTGTTGTGCTGATTTAAAGGAAAGCATTTCTATAGCTTCTATATAGGGGATAGTGGACAACATGCTGTAAAAAGAACACGATTTATTAAACCATTGAACGTTTTTTGTCGGCCCACGGAGTTCGTTTACACATGGGCAACATCCCACCAGGCTTCAAGTTGCGCTGTGATTAAAACACCAGGATTGAACATTTTGGGAATCATTATCATTATGTTGAAGTCCAAAACCTTCGTTAAGAAAACCCGATCGGGTGGGGTGATGAAGGTCGTGCGTGAGCATTACCTGAGAGATGATATTTGGTGTGGAAGTGAAGTTTGTGCTGAATGCAAACAGGACTCCACGGTGCTGCAGAAAGACTCGTTAATTGAGAGTAATTTGTGTCCTTATCCACACTATCTGGTCCCTGACACGAATGTGGTGTTGCATCAGGTAATTTCACTTTTCAAACAAGATGCTTGTTTGTACTGCCTAGTAGTTTAGTACCATTTTTAGCTGTTATATTTGGTTTTTGCCTTATGTATATCTATATTGCAGCGTTATATACCATGTAGAAATATTAGTGTACATATTATATATTATATTTGTGCACAAGAACACAATAATGGGGTGGAACATGTGGTGAACATTTTTTCTTTTGACGTACTGTCACATTTCTTATGCCTTTTGCAGGTAAAACGGATGGTGATGCTTTGATTTATGGTAGTTTTAACATCCACTCATTCTCTTCATCTGCTTGCATACACTTTGACCCACAGATTGACGTGCTGGAAGATCCTGTGATCCGTAATGTGGTTATCCTTCAGACTGTTCTGCAGGAGGCACGCCACCGCAGTGCACCTGTCTACAAACGTCTGAAGGACATCCTACACGAGAAGGAGAAACACTTCTACACTTTCACCAATGAACACCACAGGTATCTGTCATGTCACGATGTTTAGAAAATCAGAAACATTTGTTAAAAACAGTTTATACTAACCGTTCTACTCCGTATCTATAAGTCAAGTTAGAATAAGTTAATACTTTAGAAGCATATGCATGTCTGTAAAAACCTGGTTGCCATCCATTCCATGCTTTTTCAGAAAAGATCTTGATTTTTTTCAGCAAACTGAACCACTTTCAAACACATTTCAACACCCCTGATTTTCAACACTAACTGAAAAATGTTTGTCTAATTGTAATAAATAGGTAATATCAAGTATATTTCAAAGAAGTGAGAAGGCACACTTCTGGTTGAAAATGGGGTTGTGCTGTTGTGTTTGAAAGCATTACAAGATTTTAAATCTATGATTTAAGGGCGTTTTTTATGGTTTCTGTTAATCCAGAGAGACTTTCATCGAACGTGAACCAGGGGAGAGCGCAAACGACCGCAACGATCGTGCAATCCGCATGGCAGTCAAATGGTACAGCCAGCATCTGGAAATACAAAAGTCGAACACCGATGGGCTGAAAATAGTCCTCCTCACCAATGATCAAGGGAACAAGCAGAAAGCAGAGGAGGATGGCCTGTTGGTGTACAAATGTAACTAAAAGAATTCATCTGTCTTTCAATGAGAAAAGCTTCCTCACAACTTTGTGTTGGATATAAGCTTCCTTTTAGATAGGATCGTCTGACTGCTTTGTCACAAGTGTTTATCTGCTTACATTCTAGTTGAGGAATACATCAAGGGTCTAACAGCAAACCCTGAGCTTGTGGACCGGCTGGCCTTATCCAACGATGATAAGGTGAAAGTCAGCACAGTTTTTTCTTGTCTGTGAACAGACGTGAAACTGGACGCACATCATCTTTTATTTATCTCCTCGTTACACTCCACTCTGTGTTTTCTCTTCTCTGCCAGAATGAGATCACAACCAGTAAAGTGTTGTACCCAGAGCACCTTCCTCTCTCCAGGATCCAGGCAGGGATAAAGAATAGCTCCTTCCTCCAGGGAACCTTTAGAGCCAGCAGGGACAATTATTTGGAGGCAACAGTCTTTGTCCAGGGAGAGGGGGAAGACAGCAAAGAGGTGTGTGTATGTGTGTGTGTGTGTGTGTAAATCTGACTGTTAAATCTTTTGCTGTTGTATTATCAAATTACAAAGAAAATACAGATTAATGTTCTAAAGTTGTCTTCTTTGGCTTGCTGTCAGGTTCTCATCCAGGGCCTTCAGAACCTCAACAGAGCAGTGCACCAGGATGTGGTTGCCGTGCAGCTGTTGCCACGGAATCAGTGGGTAGCGCCCTCATCATTCGTGCTGCAGGACGACGGTGCTGCAAAGGACGATAACGTCGACGAGGATGAGGAGGAGAAAGCGGTGAATTTGGATTTTCTTGAAAGGATGAGGGATTGAACCACTAAGTTTTTCAAAACTATTACTCAACTACAACCTTTGCACCACCTCTGTGTCCCTGCATGTCTGAGCAGTTAAGGCTTTCAGCTGCTGAGGCAGCCAAAAAACCCACAGGGAAAGTAGTGGGAATCATCAAAAGGAACTGGAGGCCATTCTGCGGCATGCTGAACGTGTCCCAAATTAAAGAGGTACCTGAACACGTCTGAATGTCATTGGCTTGACAACACAAGGCAACAGTTTTATCTGGAATTTGCCAGCACTGACAGTGTCTTTTCTCTCTCCTTTATACAGTCAACCCGGCATCTTTTCACTCCCGCAGATCGCCGTATCCCACGCATTCGCATCGAAACCCGCCAGTCCGCCACTCTGGCAGGCCAGAGGATCATGGTGGCCATCGATGGTTGGCCTAAAGACTCCAGATATCCAAATGTGAGTTGGATTCCCTCCAGACTACCAACGTCTAACCACGGAGGCACGGGTTTGACTTGTTTTTGTTTTCGCCAGGGTCACTTTGTCCGCAGTTTGGGAGGTGCGGGAGATAAGGACACAGAGGAGGAGGTTCTACTTCTGGAGCATGATGTTCCGCATCAGTCCTTCTCTCAGGCTGTGCTCAGCTTCCTCCCCAAGACGCCATGGGCTATCACACCTGAGGTAATTTAGAAGAGACAAACTAGGCTCAATTGTTGTTCAGTAGTACGTTTATCAAGGAGTAAATATATGTGGATGTGTTGTGAAGGAAATGAAGAATAGAGAGGACCTGAGGCATTTGACAGTTTGCAGCGTGGATCCTCCAGGATGCACAGACATAGATGATGCCCTGCACTGTCGGGAGCTGGAAGACGGAAACCTTGAGGTGGGCTTTTTGTACGCAACCCTTTTCAGTAAAAGCTTACACTTATCTGTATCTGTTTTGCTGAAGACTGCGGCATATGATCTCCTTTCTGTAGGTTGGCGTCCACATAGCAGATGTCAGTCACTTCATCAGACCTGGCAACGCGCTGGACAAAGAGGCGGCTAACCGTGGTACCACTGTGTATTTGTGTGGCAAAGTAAGTCAATCAGACTCCCTCTTTATATCCCCTTGTTTTGACAACTTGCTGAACTAAATTTACAGCAGAAAGATGTTTGAGAATGTCTAGAAACATTATGAAAATATTATAGTTGCATCTTAATAGCTGTGCATAGAAGACATCCAAACTATTTCCACTAAAGGAAAATGACAAAGAACTCTGAATTTGCCTTTTGAATAGTTATAGCTTTTTGATAGTTATTTTTTATATTGACAGCAGCAGGTTATTTTACCCAATTGTCCTGCTTCCATGTTTGAGTCTTTTTAGTTATTTCACTCCCCTTTATATCTATCTAATCATAAAAATGGATAAATGCTGTTAAATGCATACATGGTGGATACAATGAAAATATTTTTTGTATTTCTCCAACAGAGGATTGACATGGTTCCTGAGCTGCTCAGTTCTAATCTTTGTTCACTACGCTCCAATGTGGAGAGGTGAGCCCTAGAAACAGGAGTGCTGTTTTTCCCAGCTGATGGGATTGGAATGCTCACTCTTATTGTCTTATTTTACCAGGCTTGCTTTTTCTTGTATTTGGGAAATGAACCACAACGCAGAAATTCTGAAAACACGGTTTACAAAAAGTGTCATCAACTCCAAGGTGAAGTGCCAACACACACAAAAAAAAGTCTTATATTTCTTGCTTTGTTTAGAAATTTGTGTGAATTAAGTTTACTGAGGTCAAGATATTTTCAGGCATGATTTATTAGTTATTTGTTTTGGTTTTATTCCAGGCATCTCTGACTTATGCTGAGGCCCAGATGAGGATCGACGACACGGGCAAGAATGACGACATCACCAAAAGCCTGCGTGGTTTGAACAAATTAGCCAAAATCCTCAAGAGGCAGAGGATAGAGAAAGGGTAAGGGGCAAAAGTGGGACTGGATTTATGAAACACAGCCTGATTCCAGCTGTAATTGACAGGGATTGCGTTAATATCATTCAGGGCGCTGACTCTGTCATCATTGGAAGTCCGGTTCCACATCGACAGTGAAACCCACGACCCCATAGATCTCCAGACCAAAGAACTCATGTGGGTAACCTCCTGCACAAGCACCAACCAGAGACTAGTTTTTTTTTACGCCTCAGTGGGTCACTTTGGCTTTTGGGCTTTCTGTGTGTCTTTAGGGAGACAAACTCTATGGTGGAGGAGTTCATGTTGCTGGCCAATATCTCAGTCGCACAGAAGATTTATGATGAATTTCCAGAGTGCGCTCTCCTGAGGAAACATCCCGCTCCCCCTCCTTCTAACTATGACATCCTGCTCAAGGCTGCAAAGTCCAAGGTGAATTCAGTCAGGCTTTGATTATCGTCACGTTAGGCTCATTTGTTCAAAAGTTTGATCATTAATTTACTGAAAATGTGTTTATTAATAAGTAGTAACTCAATGTTTCTTGAACTTTTGTTGAATTACAAAACAATGTGCATAGTGTCCATTTGATTTGTTTGGTTATGAAAACATCAGTGAATGAAAATCCTAAATTTGATTTTAAGAGCAGGTTATAGTATTTAAGGCCACTTTAACAGTTTTGAGATGGTATGAAAAAACGATACCAATCCTTGACTCCAAAGTTTCTGGAATTATCTGTGTGCATAACGACGACCGTTCTCCAGCTTCCTATGTAAAACCTTTTGGTTTTCCTTTCTCATCAGGATGTGGAGATCCACACAGATTCCGCCAAGGCGCTGGCTGACTCCCTCGATGTAGCCAAGGTGGATGGATTCCCATACTTCAACACACTGTTGCGCATCTTGGCCACTCGCTGCATGATGCAGGCAGTCTATTTTTGCTCTGGCATGGACAGCGATTTCCACCATTACGGTCTCGCCTCCCCCATTTATACACACTTTACATCACCCATCAGGAGGTAGGACAACACACACAGGACTGGCTTCAATATGTTGAATCGGGCTTTCTAACAAAGAACAATGAGCAACTGTCCATTGCATTCCTGCACAGGTATGCAGATATCATAGTGCACCGCTTGCTGGCAGTGGCTATTGGAGCAGACAGCACCTACCCAGATCTGATGGACAAACATAAGCAGTCGGCCCTCACCAACAACCTGAACTACAGACATAAAATGTCTCAGTACGCACAGAGGTCTTCTGTGGCCTTTCACACACAGGTAAAAATATGGACACATTGATAAATTGATTTAACTTTTATACAAAAAATAGATCAGTAGATCAAGTTTCAAAGGGACATCCTGTGGTCTACTGCAGTTAAATAGTAATAGATGCTATTTTTGTCCAAACTAAGTTGTGTGATATATTTGAAAGATAAAGCATACACATTATATGCCATCACCTCTAATTCATTCTTGTAAAAAACACAAAAAATGTTTTTCAGTTGTTCTTCAAGAGCCGAGGGATACTGAACGAAGAAGGATTTGTCTTGTTTGTGAGGAAGAACGCCATCATTGTTCTCATCCCAAAGTTTGGTCTGGAGGGAACAGTCTTCTTTGACTCTAAGGGCAAAGTTTCTCCTGACATTGTTTTTGAGGAGGAGGTATAAACACTAGATTCATTTGACTAACACATCTCTATCAAGCTCTAAGCAATCATCAGTTACTTTTAATAATTTATCGTTAAAATGTTTTTAAAAGATCCTCTGCATTTGTCTAGGGTCCCACTCTGAAAGTCAAACATCACACATTCCACATATTTGATCGGGTGAAAGTCACCATCAGCCTTGACGACTCCAATATTCAGCACCAAAAGATCCGTATGGCTTTAACAGAGCCCCTGGTAAGGCCACACTCGACAACTTTAGAGAGAATTCTCCCATAATTATTTGTTTTAGCTAATAATCCACAGTATCTACATTCGATTTGGGACTAGCAATTAAATGCTTATTTTACTGACACATACAGTAATGATGTTTTTTTTTTTCTTTAGATCCCTGGTGTTAGTGTTCCTGCTCCTGAAACTGAGCCACAGGCAAAGAAACCAAAACTGGACCGCTGAAATGGAAACTGATCCATCATACTCCAGAAACAAACTAAAAAGAGTATTGAATGCCTGATACATTTAAGGAGTTAAGTGTTGTGCTTGGAGCAACTTTAAGTCATTCAAATCTTTCATATGTGTGGTTTCAAACCTTTTTATTATCATTTCATGATCTGAAACATTAAAGTTTCTCTTTTCTTAAAATTGACATAATTGTGTGTGTGTGTAATAGTGGTAATAGAGCCTGAAACTCTGAACAGGAACTGTACCTGAAGTCAAATGTCCAGATGGACAAAAAGAAGAAAAAAAAACATCATAATTAAAAAACAAACAAATCTGAAGCCAAATAATTCAAGTTCATTTAATGTGTAAAAGATCAAGCCAATGTACCTAAAGATGTTTTAAATTCATGAGTGCATTATTCAGTGTGTTGTGTGGAACATTTATTCCAACAACAATAAAAAGGAGCTCCAAATAATTGTAACATTTTATAAAAACATAAATACAATACAGATCTGACATCTGAAAAAAATCTGCATCAAATTTAAAAGTTTAACTCTGCCATTAACAGTTTACAGCATTCAAGAAGAGAACTGTATTTGAAATGTAAATCACAACAACTAGAATTTAGTGTCACAGTAGAGCCAAATAAGCCTTCCCTTTTGATAAAATGCGTTACAGAATTTTCACAGAATTGTTCCAAGTCAGGTAACTTCCAACTTAAAGGGAACAAATAACCAACTATTTTCAGTTCATTGCAAAAACCCACTTCAACAGCTGAACATTCAGCATTAAATTTACTGTAAAAGCTGAAAACAAACTCTTTTTTTTTTGCATTCGATTCCAGAGTAATCATCTTAAGCTTCCACTGGAACAGGGGTCCCAATCAGGTGGCTCAGTTGTGAGGATAAAATCCCTGAAAAATAAAACTTTTTAGTAAAATTTCCAAAGTACGTGGAGCAGAGACAAACAACCACATACTTTCACGCAAGCACTCATGGGATTTTACTCGGCATCTTCCAATAGTGAGAATGCAATGGATCCTACACAGATTCCTTGTGTCAAATATACCCCGGTAATCATGGGATTTTAAAGAGCCCGTATTAAACCGCCACACTCCTGTGAATGTGTGTTAAGGGTCAACATTACCTTAACTTTGGTATGCCGAGTGATGAGCAAGGCTTCTTCCACGAGGTTGGAACCGAGGGACTCTCTGAGCTGGTAATCTGAGTTGAAGCCATCGATTAAACTAGCAGTACCAGCTGAGGTAGTGTTGTAGCCGCTATCCACCTGAACCCAAATAAACGGCAGTGTTAAATTACCAATGACATGTCATTTAACAAGTGAATGCAAGCACGTGCAGAGAGAAGCCGCTTATCTCACAAACCTGCATGCTGGAATCATAGCGGATGCTGCTGCCTTCGGCCAGAAGAGACATGAACATCTGGGAGCTTTCTGTTGCGGACACGTGCCCCATCCGAGAGCTGGTCAGCCGTCCTGAGGGTCCCCCACCTTCCTCCTCTTCCTCCTCCAGCCTGCTTTCTATTCCCATGTCTTTGCTCTCCTCCATTTTCACCGTTTCCATAGGATATAGACCAACTTTCACAGTAGAAGCTGTTTGAATGTCCTGAACCAAAGGGGATGATGGATCAAGTTCCATTGAGGGAAGTGAAGATGAAGTGGAAGGGTGGTCCTCTTCATCTTCGTGATTGTCCGGAAGCTTTGGGTTAAGAATTGGAGAAATGAGGGGGGGTGAAGCCCAGCAGCGGACTCTTGACCTGAGCTTGGGTCTGGAGGTGTGCGGGGCTCCGCTTTGGTAGTGCAGCTGATGTGGAGAGCAGCTCCGAATGGGAGAACAACCTTCAACAAATGGACTCTCATTACATGAAGTAACATCTGTAACCAGTGGACCGCCATGTGGGGTCAAACTGCTTGGCTGCCTACTCTCTGCTGAGAAAAAGATATCAGAAATTAAGAAAAAATAAGAAACTTCGTATAAGTTACAAAGAATAATGTATACCTGGGCCTATGGGAGAGTGTGCCACATTGGTAACAATAGGAGAAATCGTTGGGGAGATGTGGCCAGCGGGAGATGATCTATCAGGAAACATCGGACTACTCATGCTGCCCAGGCTGCAGTCTCTGATGCAACCATGCTGAATGGGACTGGAGGAAAACTGACCCTATCATTGAAACATTAGAAATAAATGTGTTAGGTTTTGCAAAAGTTCATATCACTCTAATTGAAATTGAAAAAAAAAGAAAAACAGCATAAATAGATGTTAGCAATCTACAGACATACATAGTAACTTTTTTTTTTCTTAGTTCTGCGATGCATAGTTAAAAAGAATGAAATACAAATTTTCACCCAATCATGTAAAAACCCAAATCAAAAACATGTCAGTTGGTAAAACACTCACCGATGACGGAGTCGGGGCCGATGTGCCACAGGACAAAGGGGAAGAAAAGACGGACGATATTACTCCTCCCTCACGACATTCAGTTTTTGGAACAACTCCTCTATTGGGGGATGTCTTCTCCAGATTGTTATGGGCTCTCTCTGGGCTTGGTGGCGTAGAGCTGTCAGAGCTGCTGTAGCTGAAGTGGCCATCGAGGAAGAGCTTTCGCCTTAAGGAGGAAGAACTGAGGCTTTCCTGCACTGCTTCACATGCCTCCTCGTAACGATAGTATTCTCCTGACATCAACAAACATAACTTGATGGTAAAATAATCTGCTGTATGAAAGTCTCCATCTTTGATTATGCAGAGGTTCAATAGAGTCCTACCTAGTAGTTTTTCCGTGTCAAAAGCCAAAGGGAGTGAAAGGGCTGTCTGGCAAGCAACTGTGAAAAAAAACAAAAACAAATTAGAACATGCACAAATCTCAAATTAGGCATTTAATCTAATCAATCCATTTAAAAGGAAGTCCAGTAACCTGAGACTTTTTCTGTCTCCTCTGCAATTGCTGGACCTACAAGTAAAACAAAACAAACAAAAAAGTCAAAGTCAGCATACAATTATTCAAATGTGTGTCATCAAAATACAGAAAATGTAGATTTAAAAGCAGTACTTGCTTTTCTTATAGGCCGGAAGGGCTCTACGTGTTTCTGGTGCTGCCCAGGGAGACGGCACAATGGTGCCTTTGGTGAAAAACTTTTTGGAGACGCAAGACATAAATGCAAGATAAATAAGCAATTCCTTAATAAAATGTCCTATTACTGTCAGAAAAAAGTTTTTGTTCTGTACCTGTTCAATAGCATTTTGACATTTTTCTTCAGTGTCAGAATCCATCCTAAAATGCAGAACGGCAGTTCATTTAAATTAATCACAATTTTAAATGTGTTTGTAGTGAATGCAGTTTTTCAGTACGCACCTGGTTTGGCTGAGGTAAAAAGACTGTCGCTGGATTTCCTCTGGGTCTATGTGTACTGGTAGAAGACTGGCCATTTCATCAATGGACCAGTTAAATTTAGGTGGAGTCTTTTGGAAGACACAGATTAAAAAAGCTCAGAAAATGTCACACATACTAAATGCTTCTGTAAAGTAAGCAGAATAAATTAAAGCTTAAGACCAATGCCACACATTTGACATTTGCTATGGGTGTACATTCTACAGTTTAGTGTGAGTTGTGCCCAAACTTACAGCTTTACAGGACTTGGACTTGAAAACTGAGGGGCTTGGAACCAGGGGTTCACGCAAGTGGTGATGGTCATTTGGACTCTCAAATGGGTTTCTTATGGAAGGCCTTCCTGGAGTTTCTGGAGTTATCTGTGGCTCAAATTGGTCCCCCATCTTAAGTGACAACAACAAAAGTTTATTTGAAATAAAAAAAATAACAATAACACACACCGTAAAGACACAATACACTAAAATTGCAGCGTTCATTTTGCTGTGAAGTGAGTTTTTCCGACTCAGTACGTTGGACACTATCCCCGTTTCCATAGCATTACTTAACGTCGGTACAAGCGACTAGCGGCGTCACGCAAATATTGGTGGCACATAAAACATGGATTTTATTGTAAATACTTACAATCGTTACTAGGCCAAGCCTAAACGCTGAACGCAAACAGCAGCAATCCCAAGAGAGTCCGTGGCAAAGAACCAGCTTCAGGGATAGTTCAAATGTTCATTTCAATTTCCCCTACAAAGCCCGCCAGCCAATAGAAATAGTACAGGAAGTTCTCTGGAGCCAATGAACACAATTATGTCGTCACTTCCTCCGCCTGTTTTGATGCCGTGTTTCGTAGGAAATGTTGCTAACTAGCAGCTAATATTACCAGTTGGTCACTGTGTAATTATAATCGTGACCAATTCAGTGTAAATTTAGGAATAGGAATTGTTGAAACTCTGGGTTAGGGTTTAGGTTTAGACTTCATTGTGTATCCACCAGCTAGCTAGCTGTGGCTAACTATTTATATTTATTACCATGGCAAGTGCAGCCAACGCAAACTTGAACGCAGTTCGGGAGACAATGGATGGTAAATATGTTTTAGTCTTATGCAGTCATTGATTTGAAATTCCTTCACTGATTTATTAATGGGCAACACTTAGCGTGGTACATCTGCGAAATTAATGCCGTTATCTTTCTCCAAAAGTCCTACTGGAAATATCAAGATTGCTCAACACTGGGTTGGACATGGAGTCTCTGTCCATATGTGTGAGACTGTGTGAGCAAGGCATCAACCCTGAAGCCCTGTCTGCTGTTATCAAAGAACTGCGCAAAGCTTCTGAGTCCCTCAAGGTACTAAACGTGTAAATTATGCTTGTTTCCCCATTCACAACCTTGTTCCAAATGTTATACTAAACTGACAAAAAAGAAACAATATCTTGTGCCACATTCAGAAACATATTCTATTTATCATCTTAGGCTCATTCTGCTCAAAACGTACAGATTGTTTTTAAACTTGAGCAGGGAATTGTTTTTCAAAGGGACTCTTTTTCTCCCGAAAGATGTAAGGATTAAGTTTTTTGCTTTTAAGGCTGAGATGGAAAATCCTGCAAGGTAAATAAGAACTGAAATGACTATATCCTCAATATTTTAATTGATTTTTCTCCTTTTAGGTTTCTGAAAACTGCACAAACTGAAGATGGACGGGGATCCCTTCAGTTTGGGAAGTTGCAATGGGATCATGCCTTGTTCCTGCATGTGTACCGTTGGCCTTTCCTGCCCAGTCACATTTGTGTAGGCTCTGTGCCTCCTCAGTCCCTAATGTGCTCCCATATTCTGGACTTGAACTTGTCTTGGTTTTTGAGAGGAGGTACCAACATCTGTCATTTCTGTAAATAATAGCATGCTCTGCCCTATCTGTCCAAACCTTTGGTCTGCTCAAAGTGTGTGCTAACACATATTGTGTAGCGCGAGCTCATATTTGCAACGGCTTCCTCGATTTTAAAAATTGGGCTGTCATTGACTTCTGGTTATCATTACTATGGATTGCACTTGTTAAATGTAAACTTTTTAAAACCTTTGTGTATTATTTGTCATTTATTGCCTGATTTGTTAAAAACATTTTCACAAATTATCCTTTTTTCATTGTAAAATAATCCTAATTAAAATGAAGACCACTAGGGGGTGGTGTGTCTGTGTTTTTCCAAATAGATGCATGTCCCTTTATGAATAAAATACAACATTTTAATACAACTTTGGAGCTAAAACATAGATTGTGTTGTTTATCAGATATACTTGAAAATCTCAAGACCTCTCCATCTTTTTTTCTGTATGTGTTGTAGTTTCCTTTTTAACATTTCAGAACTCAACAAAGCATTTTTAAGGCCTCACCTTATTAAGAGCAAATCTTTCCAAAGGATTTTGCCAAGGAAACAATCTTTCCTGTCAGAGTAGGTGAAAAGGACAACAGACTGGTAGCACATTGCACAATACAATGCAAATCAGACAATGGAGGGGTGATTACATTGTCAGCCAACTAGATCATTCACAACAAAGAAGAAAATAGCAAAGGTCAGTTTTTACAGCAGGATGTCCTGTAGATCACGGGTCCATGCTTCTTTGGGCCGCCACTTGATCCTCTGAAAGTATTTGAGAGATATTGCAAACTTGACAAAAACTGTCTTTGATCTACTAGAAGTGATGCCGCTGGATCACACATCTGAGCGCGCTGCATTGTTTTGTTTCTCCGCTGTCTGTAAAATAACACAATTCATCATCTAGATGGGGGGAAAATGCTGAGAGCACAGAACATCTCTCCACAGGCCAGTAAATGGGCCAGGAGCGACCTCTTATCCACACAGGTTTTCATCAGTATCCTGTGTGTGTGTGTGTGTCCCTCAGTGTGTGAGAGTTTAGTTGCATCGCTGTAGATGTCTACAAATGAGTTGCCTCTAAGCCATCTGACAGTAACGCTTCACCCCTCACAGGCACACCAGAGAAAGCCAGCGAGTGCACAGGAGTGTGTGTGTAAGCATTTCTGTCTTCTTCTGCTTTGTCTCGCCATCTTGACTGACAGACTGCGAGTCTAAATCTCGGTACCGCCGCTTTGATCTCTTTACACAGTATCTCTCTGTTCCTCAATACCACCATCATGTCAGCCAAGCATGACAGACATACAGATTTGGTGCATTGGCTCTTGATGGTCCATGAGTCTGAGCAAAACCCAGGTCTTTGTGGGGGGTGGGCTGGATGAGCTGTTGACTGAGTTCCGTACAAAACAAGATTCCCTTTATTTTAGAAGAAAAAAAAAGTTATGCGTGTCTTGATTGGCTACTAAGGGCGTGGGATTCGGGATGTATTGCAGTCTGTTTGATCTGGGTTCCCCTTATCCAAGCCAGCTACTTTGATCTCTGTTAAACAAAATATTCCCAAATCCCATAGTCCTAACAGAGATTAGCGTCCACATATGCATAAACATCTAATAGGTGCTCAACTAGGGCAGTGGTCAGGTCACATGACTGTATCAACTTAACAGGCGAGCATGTCCTCACATCCAAACTTCTAAAGGTGTTTGTATCCGTGTCTGATAATTAAGGAAGAGGATTATTTTTCTGATAAATGAGGGCAGTCTCATTTATGAGTGAAAAATCTATGAGTAGCAATTACAGTTCAGGTGTGCGCAATGGATATTAGGACAATAATTAGACTGGACTGATTAGAGGCTCCTGATGTATAAAGAAAGATGGTCTGTTTATGTTTTTCTAAACCTAAATTACATCCATATTGTCTCATGAAAACAAATACGGCGTTGAGCTTAATTTGATGCTGCATTAAACCAAAAGCCAAAGACCTTTGAGCAAAATTACATACGGGTCACTAATTATCGTTGGCAATAAACAAGAAGGTGCAACGGTCTCCCCGCTGAGACGCAGCTTTGTTTGTCCATTTGATGTCTTATTACTCATTATATGGTCATTTCAGGGTTGATATTTGTAGTTTTTTATGGTTTTCTCCACTATATGATATACAAAAGGAATATATTTTAACAGAATTTTTTAAACAATATGTCAGTCTTTTTTAAATGTCTTCCATACACACAATAATTAAAATAAACTAAAAATATTTATGTAGGTGCTTTCGCTTCAGTTTTATTGCCCTGGTCTGAAGTAGTATCACTGCTAAATTTTAAGTATATTATTCTTAATATGTTGAGAAATTTAAACAGTGATAAATTATATTTTGGTCAAATATCCAACATTACTGAACCATTGAAAATAAAGCTTTACATCAGAATGAAATTACCAAACAAACCAGACTAAGGTATTTTCACCCTTTATTAGTAGTTGGTGAATGAACTTCTGCAAAAGAAAAAGAAAAGCCTCTATAAATGCAACTCCATTCTAATCTTTTCAAGATCATTTAGGTTTTGTGGAATTCCTCATACAACAGAATTGGTAAGGCCTTTTCACAAATGAATCACCCGATTGAGTAAAAGACTCACAGCCTTGCAGGTTAAAACAGTTTTGTCTTCCCAGTTATGCTTCTGTGTATCTTTGTTTCTGCTCATTGTGCTGGAAGCCTCTCTTAACCAAAACGTGAAAGCTGACATGTTCTTACATCGGAAGCCCCTTTTGTCCCAGAAATCCTGAGTGATATTTCAAAATAACTATTTATTTTATTATTTAACACTTAGTAGCATATGCGTTAATAGGTAAACAGCACCCTTTGTTGTGTGTTTTTTTTTTATATGGGGTTAAATAAATCAACTAGATCCTAAACTCATTTATAAGTCTTTTCCATAGACTTTTATCTCAGAGAGTTTGGGGTTTGTACATTTTCCCACTGCATTCATCAAAAAAAAAAAAAAGAAAATTTTGATCCTCTCTGATTTCACAGTTTTATGTTTAAAAGAAAAACATTTTCCTTGTTCCATGGACAAAAATGACATCAATAACTACCAAGAAAGCAGCATGTTGTTAAACCCTGACATCCAGTTATTGAAAGGCTGCAGCAGTGTATATCCTGTAGAAGCCGTGTTTATAGGTGTGTCTCTTAGAGCTTAAGTGATTGATCTATTGTATTTCTGTTACTGATCGAGCCTCTCTGACCCTCATTCTTCAGCGACGTGAAGCTTCGGGGACTGTTTTTGCCCTGTGAAGACTTCTGCGACCTTGTTGGAGCTCACCCCCATACATCACTGTTGATTAAATACAGGGCACACTTTTACTCCCTAAGATACTATTTAGGTCCCAATTAAATTCATAGCAAGGAAATTGGATCATAAACTCCTCAAAGGATCGTTAACAATCATTAGACAGGATAATGACATGGCAATCAAAATATGTAAAAAGAAAAAACTTTCAAAGTCTTTTGGTGACTTTGTTGTTTTTGGACATTTTCCAACCTGATTAATGTAGAATTGATTGATTTTACAGTTGTAATTAGCTGTACTCTACATATGCATAATAATCACATGTCTCCCTGCTTGTTTTAATGTATTAATTGATTTCATTAACAGAAGCATTTAATACAATAACAATTAACAAAGTTGATGATGCTGATATTAACAGCGCATCCAAACTCCCTTGTGTTTTTCTTGTGATTATAATGAAACCACCTTTTTATCAGATTGCAATTTTGTGTGTTGGACTATGTAATGACTAAGATGATATTAGGCTTATTAGTTTATTCGAGTGGCTCACCGAGGCGTTAAGCTCCTACTGAACACATTGTGTTTAACAGGTAGCTGCCATATGCCGCCTTAATCAGACATTGGAATCACATTTGGTTGTTAAATTGTCTCCTAATAAAAGCAGGTAGTAAAACAACTCAGGCTAATTCAATTTCTGCAGAGTTTGGGTGAAGTGAACAGCTGTTGGTATTTGTGGAAATGTTTGAACAATCCCCCTCCTCTCACTCGTTTTTTTTTGGGTTTTTTTTTTTTTTTTTGTGTTAAGGTTTAACTCTAACGGCCTGCTCAACTTTTCTTGAAGAAAATGGAGATGGAGGGTGGATGAGCTGTCCACTCTTCTTAAAAGAAGACAATACCAGGCATATTGTAGTGACAGCTTGCATTGTGAGACAGTGTGTGTGAGTCTAAAAGAGAAAGGAAAAGTGAGAGAGAAGTATGTTAGGAAAACAGAAAAATACAGAAGATGTGTGCGCACGAGGATGCTTGAGGATGTGTGTTACAATGACAGCTTGTATTCTCCGTGATTAATGATGTGCTGTGTGACTTGATAAGTGCTTCGGAGGACCAACGCTTGTTTCAATTAGACCTTGTGAAGGTCGTGACGCGGCGCCGGCCTCTCATTATCATATCCATAATCAATCCACATTATCATAGGGGAATGCAGAATGGATGTGTGATATCTTGGTCATGCACACACACACACACGCACAGACACCTAATCACATACCAAAACACAATAACATACTCTCTCACTCACAAGAGCACACACACACCCTTCGCTCCAAGTTGATTTGAATCATAACAGAGGCTGTCGGAACGGATTGTCTGTTCAGATTAAGAGTTTGTTTCTGAGAATTAAGCAGCATTGATGGTGGTGGCATTTCAGATCCCCAATGCAGACACAAATGCCAAAACATCATTCTGTCACCACCACCCCCCCCCCCCCCCCCCCCCCCTTCCACTTGCTTTCACACAATCACATATATGAGCACACAATTGCGCGTGCGCACACACAGACACACGCACACTTAACTGGGACCCTGGGGCATTTTTAATAGAGGCGAAGTGATTCGTATGTTTTAGCTCCTCTAATGAGAACAGATTGAGTGGTATTTACACTTCATCGGCTGATCTAACCACCTACACATTTCCCTCATGCCTCTGCCGCTCTCTGGCCAAACCAGACATGTGGAAAGGACCACAGCTCGGCTTTCAGGCAGCGACACAACACGTGCGTTATCTTTGTCTCTCGGGCTCGGGATGGCATCACGGCAACGTAAATATCAGCTGTTTCAGGGGGAAGGCTGCAGCCAGATTCAGTTTCCCCCGAGGAAGCTGTGTGTGCTCGTCTCATACAGAAAGAGAGTAAATTGCTTGTTTCCAGGTGTTTGTTTGAAAGGCACACTTTGGGTTTATATGTGTCGTTTGTTTCCTTTGTATCAATAGGTTAATCCGAGATCAGAATGTGCTTGAAAAAAATGACAACCACAGGTTACCTTTTTCCCTCAGAAACATTCAAACGACTCACTAATGAGGACAATCCAACAGGACAGAAAAAGGAAAAAAGTGAGACAAATGTTGGAGGTTAAAACTTAATCATACAGTACTGAAGAAATCAGAGCAATCGAAGGAGATATAAAACATTAATTAACTCTATGAAAGAGGACTCTTCCGGCGCTGAAGATAGATAGGCTTGCACTGTCTCAGGAATTTAAAGCACTTCAAAGACAGGATACTCCACCAATTCAGAACTGAATTCCAGTGGCAATATAAGATGATAAAGCCAGATAAAAATCAAAGAAGCAAACTTGTTCCCTTTTTTTCTTCATGCAAATCTGCCTGTAAAACCTGGTGCCTACAAAACCCACAATGCAGCACTTTGGTTGGAAAACCAGGTTTATTATTCCCAAAAGGGCTCATGCGGAGGAGATGAGAGAGGCCAAACAACTGTAATATAAACTGGTGCAAAACTGAGTGAAGGAAAAAGCGTTCCCCTCTGTGGGACACAATATATTATTTTCTACTTTGGTACCTGGAGAGATTTAACATTAGTTCTTTGTTTCCTTTCAGGGGAGTTAAAGCACAATGACTCTTGCATGAATTCAACCTGTGACCTTCCTGTTGTGATTGAAAATCACATCCCACCAGGACGCCGCGTAACCCACCGCAAGCAGTGCTCTCCACCAGAGTGTACTTACTTATGCTTATGACCGCGGATGAATGAGACAAACTGGAAAATATATATGGATAAGACACAACACATAGTTGGGCTTTTGGGGGCAGTTTTCCTAAAGGTGGCCCACTACTCGTTCTTTGTGTAAACCACAGTGCTCCAGTTGCCCTGAATCACTATCAGATGCTGCCACGAGCCTCAAAAGTTGCACGGTGCGGGACCGAGGGGCCTAAACTACACCTTTTTACCAAGTATTAAAGACGTTAAGGTGGAAATTTACCACATGAATCAACTCTGATATACACTGATGGCTTTATCTGTTTGTTTTCTACAGATGGAAAAAGAGAGTCGTGACATTTCTTTTTGGCGAGGAAAAGGCCATACTCAGCAGGAGTTATCAAAGGCAAAAAGTAAAAAGTTCGAGTTAGCTATCTCTCCCTCTGTCTCCCCCTCTCTTTCTTCCCCTGGAGATACTCATGTTAAGCATAATTAAGCAGATTTGATTAGCATCAAGCCTGGCTTCCTCTCTTGACTTTTAATGAATGTAAATCTACCATCTACATCCTAAAGATTAATTTCTGCCAATTAAAAAACACAAGAGGGCTTATTCGAGAGAGAGGAGGGGGTTGTGGGGGGAAGAGTGTTATAGTCCTTTGAGTTGGAGTACAGTCAGAGTTTTATCCTCTTCCCCCTTGTCTTTTGGTGAGATGGTCTCTGGAGATCTGTGTCTCTCTCCCTCAAGATCATTATCAACACAATGTTCCGTGAAAGCCACTTTGAAAGGATTGCAAGCTCCATGTAAATGAAGGGAGCATGCGTGGAGTGGGTGAGGAAGCAGTACAGGGGGCAAGTAAAGGGGTCAATCTGTCAAAACCAACAGCTGGGGCAACACAAATAAATGTTTTTTAATCCTAAAGAAACGCAGCTCAATTTTTTCCATTTATAACTACAGATAATAAATAAAAAAAACGTGGGCTATGATAATCACCCACTTTTCATTATCGTTCTCTTGCTTTCTGATTAAAAAAAGAAAACAGGTGTCGTTTAAAAGCGGCAGACTCTCCATTCCTTGTGAAAAGCCTTATTAATAACATTCCAATTACATAAAGGTCAAACATTAATTGGAAAACGAGATTCATCTGTTGACAAACTGCGTGTTCCAAACAGATTTATCTGTCTGCTCTGCACAAAGATGCAAACACCCTCTGTATTTTGGGGCACTCTAAAAATCTCTTTTAATATTCACAGAAAGAAAAGTAATAACCGGAAAACATTTTGCTCTCAGGGGGGAAAAAACTCGGTCATCAAATCGTAACATAACTTTAAGGGATAATACTTTATTAATCCGCATTTAGAAATTCTGTAATTGCACGCTAAAAATAAATAAACAAGCCATCGCAGGCTTTAGTGTGAAGGTGTCTTTTCGTTAAGCGTTTAGAAATAAGCTTACCCAAAGTTTGTGTGGGCTAATCTTTGCTCTCGCCCCCTCTTGCCTCGCGTCTCACTCTAAGAACACGGCCAGGCTCCTCCTCTTTATGATAATGTGACAGTAGCATCTCCACTCCGAGACAAGCCTCCGCTCATTCTGATCCAACTATGTGATCTGTTTTCCCTCGCGCGGACCCTGTCTCCCGTCCTCTCTTCTCTGACCCCCCTCTCTCCGTCTCCGCACACTCAAATGCGCACTTCACGCTCGCCAAGCCACTGCGTGTGTTCGGGGAAGTTACTTTCGTAAACACTTTTTGACTCAGAAGTTGACTCGCGCACTCTTTTTTTTTTTTTCTTCCCCCGGCATGACCACCATGGCTACTGCCCCCGCCGCTCCGACTCTGCTCCCCGCCGCTCCGCTCGGACACCTCCCGGCGCCGAGCTCCGTCTCTCCGGCCACCAACTCCCCCCCGCCCGCGGCCACTTCGGCCGCTTCGTCCCCGGCTCCTCCGGGGTCGCACCCGGCGCCGCCGCTCCTCCAGCACCACCACCACCACCCCCACCACCACCAGTTCCGGCCGGACCTCCTGCTGCTGCCCAACGGGAGCCCGCCGAAGAGCGGGCCGGCCCCGGCGGGCTCTGGCGGCCCCGGTGGCCCCGGCTCCGGCTCCGCCAAGCCGGTGTACGCCACCGCGTCGCCCGTGGAGAGCACGCCGCAGAACAACGAGTGCAAGCTGGTGGAGGTGAAGGGGGCCAAGCTGGCCTCGTTCACGGTCAGAGACACCGAGCTCATCTGCCTGCCCCAGGCTTTCGACGTGTTTCTCAAGCACCTGGTCGGCGGGCTGCACACCGTCTACACCAAGCTGAAACGGCTGGACATTACCCCGGTGGTGTGCAACGTGGAGCAGGTCCGCGTGCT